ACATGCTAGCTCACTAAAATGAAATCGTCAGAATTTTAAAAGAGATCAAATAATTACCCTCCTAGATCACTCTTAAGGCTTAAAACTCAAATCCTAGCCCAACACCAAAAACTCAACGCAAGGCCTCAGAAAACTTTTAAGCATCTTACTAGCCAAAACTTGATGATCCATATGGAATTGTACTGAGGGAATCCCCATCTGATGCTTAGAAATTGAAATATTGACCAAAGTCAACTATACCAAGAATTCTTAACTGAGAGGGTCAAAATCACCCAAAACACACCTGATCACATCAGGGACCACACCAACCATTCCCACAACACAGACTAAGCATTGAAACACTAAGGAGAAGGGGAAAATGATCAATTCACAACTTGAAGCAAATTAACAAGACATGGGACATTACATTATCAAACACTAAAACATGTGTACGTCCTAAAATGGAAAGCAAAATAAGGTACCTGAAGGGGTGAAAACATAGATTATCTACGATATATGTTAGATTCAAGCTCTTATGTCACCTCCTCAACAGGTTGGAGCCTCTGCTCTACCTTCACTGAGTTAATATGCTTTGATCTCAATGGTGTAGTTTGCATATCCAAGATATCAAAAGGCTTCTCCTAAAAGGACATATTTTGGCTCAAAAAAACTGAATCCCACTCAATCACATGAGAATTATGATGATATCTCTTAAGCATCGAGACGTGAAGCACAGGGTGGATCACTGAAAGGCTAGATCGCAAGTCAACCTTTAAGATACCTTTAGGCAGTTCCCCAAAATCTCAAAAGGTCTAATGAAATACAAATTGAGTTTTCCTATCATTCCAAACCTCATCACACACTTGGTATATGGAATCTTAAGCAAAAACTTCTTACCAATTGCAAAGGACACATCCCCCACACACCTATCTGCATAAATCTTCTGCTTACTCTATCACAAGGTGTTGTTGAATAATTTTCACCCTATTTATTGAGTCTCTCAACATATCAGTGCCCCAAGGTTGTAATCCACAGGACCTATACCTCCTCACATACAAAGCCTGAAACGGTGCCATCTAAATGTTTGAATGGTAACTTTTGTTATAGGATAACTCCACAAGAGGTAGGGATTGGTCCAAATGACCACCAAAGTACATGATCATGTCTTGAATCATATGCTCAAGCACTTGATAATCTACTAATACTAACCATTGATTTGAGGATGGATGGAGGTACTCAACTAAAGCTTGGTATTTATCTGCATAGAACTCCATTAATGAGAGGTGAAATTCTCACCTCTATCTGATACAATTGAAATGGATACTCCAAGCAACTAAGCAATCTTTAGAATGTATTTGCTACAAAACTACTTTGCATTATAGTTAGTCTTTATCGAGATAAAAAGAGCCATCTTGGTCAACCGGTTCATAATAACCCAAAAAGAATCAAGCTTACCCAAATCAAGGGTAACAGGTGACCTAGTCATAAAGTCCACAGTAATGCGCTCCTCCTTCCACTCAAGGATGTGTATCATTTGCATCGCACCACCTGTTGTTTCATGCTTATAAATCACTTGTTGACATTTCAAACACTAGGCCACAAAGTCCATGATATCTCTCTTCATACCAGACCACCAATTGTGTTTCCTCAAATCATGATACATTTTGACAACTCCCGAGTGAATAAAGTATGAAAAACAATGCACCTCCTCCAATGTCTTACGCATCCAACCACCAACACTGGCAACACAAATGCAACCACAAATCCTCAAAAATTCCTCAATATTTGAATTATATTCACTTCTACACACTCAGTCCTGAATAACTTTTGACTTGACATCCTCAAATTGGTCGGACGAATCTGATCTATCAATGTAGACCTTGCTTCAACCAAGGCTAAAACACGGTGAGTTGTACAAATATCGAGTTGATTGAACTGTTCAGCCAATGAATGAGCTTTAAAGCTAAATATATTTTCCTCTAACTTAAGAATGGAGAAATTACCCATACTAGGTGCTTTCAAACTCTAGCTTTTTACATCAACTCACCCCCTACACCAACACCCAAAGCGTAACAACATACCACAAATGCCAATACAATCCACGGAGAAATACTAAGATAGTTGTTGAAGTGAAGAAATTCTTGAGATTTTGAAAGCTCTCTCACACTCAACATTCCACAGAAATACCATAGTCTTTTGAGCAAACTTTGTTAGTAAAGTTGCGATGAAAGAGAAAATCTATACAAACTGATGATAATAGCCCACTCACCTTATGAAATTCTGAATCTTTGTAGGGGAAGTAGGTTCCGACCGCTCAAAAACTACCACAACCTTACACGGATAACCAATAATAGTTTGATTTGTTGAACACATGACCAAATAAAAGCACAAACTCAAGCCAAACTCGCACTTGGATAACGTTCCATACAAATTCTTCTCTCTCAATTTTTGGAGCAGGTCCTAAGTGACGAACATGGTTGACCTCATTCATGGAATAAACCAAGATATAATTAGTAAATACAATCACAAAGGAATCCAAATAAAGACAAAATACCCAATTCATCAATTTCATATAAGGGGTCGGGGCATTAATCAGACCAAGGGACATGACTACAACCTAACAATCCTTATAATGAGTAATGAAAGTATTCTCTGGGATATCAAAATCCTAAACTCTCAACTGATAGAAGTCCATCTTCAAGTAAATCTTGAAGAACAATTATGCACCCTAATGTTAATTAAACAGACCATCAATATAAGGAAAAGGATACTTATTCTTGAGAATATCCTTATTTAATTGTAGATAATCAATACACATCCTCATACTACCATCATTCTTTTTCACAAATAAGATTGGTCAGCGCCACAGGGATACATTAGGCCAAATAAACCATTTTTACAACAAGTCCTCCAAATGAGGATTCAATTCCGTCAATGTAGTCGGGGACATTAAGCGAGGAGAGATATAAAAAGTTTAGGTGCTCAGACTCAAGTCAATCACAAATAGATGTCACAATCTTGATGGACACCTAGTAATTTTGTCAAAAACACATCCATGAAATATTTAACAACTCTCGTGGTCTCTAAAGGAGATGGATCTTTTGTAAAATGATGAACATGGACAAAATAATATAAACATCCATTCTGAAGATACTAATCCCTTGGATATGAACTTGGATCACCCTTTCACACAAGTTGAGTTAAGATAAGGTCACAACTTTTCCATAAAAATATAAGTTCATATGGTAGGGAGAAAACCAATCCATACTAACTAACATATGAAATTAAACATATCAAGTAAAATCAGGTGAACCCGAGTCACACTGTTAAAAAATATCACTACACACCCTCTGTAAACCTTATCCACCACTTAGGAATTGCCTACCAGAGTGAAGAAACTAGAAGTCACAACAAGAGACTCCCACACATGATCAATACCCGCAAAAATATAAGTAGACACATAAGAGTAGGTCAACCCAGGGTCAAATAATATTGTAGCACCATGATTATTGATAAGGAAGCTACTTTTGATAATTTCATTTGAGGCCTTTACCTCAAATATACTAGTATATCATAAGACTTTCTACAGTAACCACTATTTTGAGAGACACCACAAACAATGCCTCAATCCCCATTATCTCCCCCTTGGTAGTTTCTCTAGCACCATGTGAAGTACCCTGTGTCGATAGATTTGGCCTAAAAAGAGTAGTGTGATCCTGACTAGATTGTACAAGATGGACGTTTGGGTAATCCTTTACCTGTTTCCCAAACTCCTCACAAACAAAAGAAACACAAAGACATGAACCTTACTGAGAGTACACAAAGATTGTGCATGACCTCCTCGACCTAATGATCATCCATGTATAACCTAACCAATTTGACTAGGCCTGGATCAACTAACACTATTTGTACTTTGAATAACGGCATGCAATAATCTACCCTAGTAACCACATGAGCCTTGGCTTGAATAATCTCTACCTATAGATAAATGACTGTTGAACTGAACCTTGAGAGAAAACCTCTTGGTTTCACTACCCTATCTAGCATGTAAAATACCCTCACTCCTTGACCAACTTATTGATCCACTCAAACTTTATGTGAATACTCGATATGACATGTTAACCTTGCGTGTGCACGCCTTTCTGTCTCTCTCTCGATCTCTCTCTCTCACTCTCTCTTGTGTGTGAAAACCTATCTCTCTAGCACACACGTCTATCTCTTCCTCTCTTGTAGGAAGGCCTCTCTATCTCTCTTTTTTGTGTGCCTCTCTCTCTTCATCTCATTCTATTCATCCCAAATAACTGTTGGTCAAAAATATTCCATAGAATATGACAACAGAATTTTGTATCATGCACAAATGTATTTGTTCTCCATATCAATTGGATTTGTATTATGTATAAACTGTGTTCTTTCATACAATAAATTCAATTTGTGATACAAATCAAGTGAATCAATTATATTTGTGATAAGACTTGATATAACAAATACCCATATTCATCCTCAATGTCAAATTTTTTATTTATCAACTGTATTTAACAAATATATGTGAGAGATTTGTATTTTATATCAATTATGTTAAGACAATTGTATTTGTGTTTTTGTATTAACTGTATTATTATTTTGTATTAAGTGTATTTGTGATACAGCAAATACAATATGTATTCATCCTCTTTCCTCCCTCTTTTGATCTTACTCACCTATATCCTTCCTATATTGATATCAATCGTCTCTCTCCCTCCTCTCTCAGTCTCACTCAGCTCTATCCTCGCTCTCTCATTCTGTTTCGCCTCTCTCATTCTAAGACGTAGCTAAAAAATATTTTCTTATGTAATTTCATTTATTTAAGTACAAATTAGTTGTATCAATCGTATTTTTGTTACAACAAAATACAACACGTGTTGAAACTCCCTCTTCTAGATAATGTGCACCTCTCTCCTCCCTCTTCTAGTCTTACTCACCACTCTCCTCCCCCCAAAATGTGTTATTATTTGTAATTAAGGAAACTATACCTCTAGATCTCTAATTAACTCCAAAATATCATCACTTTTTAAAAGCTTCCCACAATGAATTTAATTGAACAGAGGCCCGAACCGGCAAAAATTAAAATAAAAGAAGAGAACTAACAACTATATAAATATTTAGACCACAAAATAGGAAAGTTCTCGACCCCTTCCATTCCAGTCTTATCTACTCTAATGTCGGTTCTTGAAAGCTTCATAGATGACGCGTCTTCTTCTCAAACCTCAAGGATTCTACAAATTGATGAGGTTCATAAAATTAATATAAAAAAAGAAAATTAACAACTATACAACTATTTAGACCAAGAAATAGGGGAATCCTCGACCCCTTCCATTCTACTCCGATCTACTCTGATGTCGGCTTCTTGATGTCTTCATAGATGAGGCGTCTTCTTCTCAAACCTAAGGATTCTAAAGTTTGATCAGGTTCATATGATGCTTTTGGTCATAACTTTGATATTTTATACATCCCAATATCGAGCAATTTGTGTCACTTTGTAAGCGACATCTTATAAGCTCACAGTTGCCATGAAATCAATTCCTTTAAGTACATCATCAATTCAAATATCATGAAATCTCTGTAAAGGTATGAGTTTCTCCTTTAGTTGTTAATGAGTTCACAAACTAGATCTACTTTTATTGCTAGAATTTATTTATTTGCAAATTCGGTAATTTTATAAATAATATTGTTCTAACAGATTTGTTCCTTTTATGTCTTCTAAAATTAAGTCTATGATATATGTGTAAGATCGTTTCATAGCTCGAGATAAGCACTCTTTATATGTAAAATAATAATATAAAAATTCATAAAAAATATAATTCTCCAACAATCTTGACAATTCACATCGTTTTTTTTTCTTTTTTGTTTCTTCTTAAAACAATTAAAGATTTATTTATTTGTTCATATGAAATTTTGAGTTTATTAAAGGTAGAAAAATTACTCATATTTTCAGAGAAACTTGTAGGAAATAAAATAAAATCAGTATCCCCTATCTTTGTATTCATTGATGAAAATTGTGCCTTCATAAACACACTATTTGTTAGAATTCAAATTTAATTCTATGCCTTTTCAGATATTGATATTTGAAATTTTTTTGCCAGATATAAATCAATTACGAATCAATAAGTCCATTGACAAGAATAAAGTGTTTGTATCACGAGAATCTTCTTCTCTTTGCTCGAACTCGAGACCTCTGGTTAATATTGCAAGGGATTTAAACGATCCCTTCACATCTGTTGCTGGTAAGCTTTTATTTCTTAATTCACTGATGTTTCATCAATTAGACTAAAATACTTTTTCTTGATTCTAAATCTTCTCTTCTTCTTCGATTGTTCTTGAGCTCTGAGTATCAAATACATATAACACATATGCATCAATCATTAATTTAACACATATACGTATTAGCTTTGACAATTAAACATAAATGGTCAAATACACATTTATATCAATTATTAACCAAAACATATGCACATTTATACAAAGTATACAATAACATATATATTTTATAAATGCCTTCTAAAATTGGGCTAATTCTATTTTAACCATAGAATAAATTTGACTACACCAACATATGCCTGCACCCCTTTATCTATTATTCTGGCCCAATCCATTTATCAAATTTACTTTTGAAGGATACAATTTATAATGCTTCATTAAAAACTTATAACCAAAACTTACTCTCATCGAATCAAATTTCACTATTAAGGGCTTTCTAAAACTATAATTGGATAATTATAATCTTAATTCTTCGATAAATAATGATTTTGATCCTTATCATATTTCAATGGAAAAAATAACATTAAATAAAATAAAATATATGTATGTGGTCTTCAAATATCATATATTTAAATTATTATAATACAATAATCATATTTCCTCAAATTTAGAATAGTATAAAAATATTAACATATTACATGAATAATTCATTTAATTTGTGAAGATTGACAATTGGTTGAAAAATCAAAAGTTCATAGTTCCATTAATCAAAATTTATTTGGGTTGATTTAGATATTGTAAGCATCAAAGTTAACATTCTTAACATTTAAAGGTCTAAAAATTAATCTTCTTTCTTTATCTAGATCTTGAATTGGTCATGTACTAATCAAAACCGTAATACTCACATACTCAAGATATGATAATGCATCCATAAATACTTTTAGATGATAAAATTATTTTTTATATATTGATACTGTTAAAATAAGCATTTATATTATTAATGTAATTTAATTTTTTATAATATATTGTCTTTTTATATTTCTAATGACTGATTCCACTAATAATGAAATGCTTCAAACTATAAACATGTTTATGTAATCAATAATACAAATTCTTTAGAATCCAAAATAATTTTTTAACCTTTGAATTCATTATTCTTCTTTTTGGGTTACTTATTTTGTATAAAAGAAAGAATAAATTTACAAGTACCCCCTCAACCTATGCCCGAATTCTCACAGACACACATATACGATATTCAGGTCCTATTACCTCTTGAATTTATTTTATGTATAATTTTTTTACCCCTTTTCAGCCTGCGTGACACTATCTTATGGGTCCAGTGCGTTGACATTTTTTTTCAAATTAGTGCCACGTAGGACGAAAAGGGATAAAAAATTATTTATAAAATAAATTTAGGGGGTAATAGGACGTTAGTATAATATAAATATGTCTTTTGAATTTTGGGCATAATTTGAAGAGTACTTATGCATTTTCCCTAAAAGAAACAGGTGGCTAATTTGGTAGTTAGGATGCCCTGTATAGTTTTGCTTCTTTATTTCAAAATATGACACATAATTTATGGTTATTTTGTAACCTAATTTCTTATCCTCATTTAAGTCTTTTATTTCATATAATCAAAAACTTAACCGTTTATTATTTATCGGTTCAAGATCCACATGAAAGAAGTTAATTTTTTCTATCTTCTATTACAATTTTCATGATATAATATTAATACTTAAAATTTTACATGTAGATAATAGTTATACCTAAAATATACACAAAAAGTATTAATGGAGCTTATTCATATTACATATTGTTATACAAATAATCAATCAAATTCAATAATATCTGATCTTACGATATATATATATATATATATATATACACACACACATACATATACATATATTAGTAATGTTTAAATCCTACTAATTAATTACATATAAGTGATACAATGATAATATGAAAGTACTAAAATTAGCAATATAATTAGCGATATATTCGGTGATGAAGCTCTATTGACGATGAGATTAATCAAAAAATGGCTCTTCAAAAATGTTTTGAACGAAATTCATTAAAAATTGGCTTGTCATAAACCGAAAGATTTTTGCTAGAAATTCCTTGACAACAAAGCTAATTTGCATAGGAAAGTCTGTTAAAAATGAAATTTTATATAAAAAAAAATGATGGTCTAAAATAATTCATAGGCAAAAAAAAAGTATTTTAAAATATAAATTAAATTATTTCCAAATATACATTACATCTAGAAAAGATAATTCAAAAACAAAAGTGTGACACCTCAATTCAAATGGACAATTTACAACTTAAGCTCACATTACTATATCCTTAAAGTACTTAACATTTCATCTTCACACTATAAATAACCTCTTGACTCAAGCACCTATTCCACACACATACTCTTACTCCACAAGAAAATCTCTCCTTTTCTTTTAGATAAAATCTAAAGTTTCTATTTCGGCCATACTAGAAAGTTTTCCTTTCTTGTTTTTTATTTTTGGGAAGTTGATTTTCTATTCGTGAAGAATAAGAATCATTTTTTTGCATTTTTATTGTATATTTCTTCAATTGTATCATCTGTACAAATGGATAATAGAGACAGTCAATATTTCAGCTGCTATTCATCATCTTTCCCATTTCACAAACAATTTTTGGACAAGAGGTTTATTCTGAAAATTTCCGCGAATGTATCCGTCAAAATTTATATGAATCTGATAACTTCTGTATGTACATTTACGAGGTACCAAAGTGCTCAAAACATTACTGTCACGATTGGACATCTTGCCCCTTTACCCATCAAGGGGAAAAAGCACGTCGACATAACCCGAGAAAATACAACTATTTTCCAATTTCTTGCCCAAGTTACAAATTCGAACCTTGCATAAAGGGAGATCATTGAGAATTGTGTCATGGAGTTTTTGAGCACTGGTTACACCCTGCAAAGTACAGGACCACTCTGTGCCAAGCTGAAACGTCATGTAACAGACCAATTTGTTTCTTCGCACATACACTGAAAGAGCTTCGTCCGGAGACAAAATACAATTGGTGTTATGTGTATCTATGCCCTTTATACATCCAATCATATCCGTACATTATGATTAAAACTTGTCCAAATGGTAATTGGATGATCATTCCTTGTAACCCTCATCTACAACCACCACCACCTGATCAGTGTTATGATAATACCACTTTTGGACTTGGAAATTGTTCTAATCCTCAAAGAATTCCTCTAAAAATATGCCAACATTTGAGTTGTTTACTCCTCCTCCTCCTTCTTCTCCCTCATCTTCTCAATCTCATTCAAAGTTTGTTTATAGGTTACATAATGAAAGTGATTTTTCACTTTTTTCCTCCAACCACAAATAGTTGATTGAGCGGATGAAAACTCTTGAGCTTGGGAGTACTTCCCATGCTAAGATAAATAAAATTCACGATGATAATGGGAAGAGGATTGTGGAGTAAGAATTATGTTATTAAGAATTTCCAAATTACATTTATTGAGTTTCTGACTTGTTAGTGGAAGAATTTGAGGGTCCAAGCTTGTAATATTTTGTGCATGATGTGTCACAGTAATTCATTTTAATTTTAATGTATTAATAGATAAATAATTTGAGAACATTTTCAAAGAAATTTATCAACTTCTATCTTTTTTATTAAATTTTTCATTTTTGCCATTGTATGCATCTAACATAGATTTAGAGTGTGGTTTATAGGTTATTTTTTGTCTTTACATTGTATTTTTCATAGAATGTTTTACAAGAATATATGGTCTGTAATACTTTCTCTCAGTTTCATGGATCATTGACACACAAATATAGGGATGATAATGGGGTGGATTTGATGTGGGCCTGAGTGGATTTAAGGTTATCTAGAGTGAAACTATTTTAAGGTTGTGCGTGGTGAAGGCATATACGGGAGAAGTAATGGTTTTTTAAAACTAATGTGGGGTAGGATGGGTTGAGGGTCTTTGCAGGTTTATGCGAGTTAAAACTTAATTCTAATTTTTTACATGTTATAAAAGTAAAAGAACACCCTTAACGGATAAGAATCATCGAACAAATTTTTTTTCAAAGAAGGCCAAATCATCTCTCTCTCTCTCTCTCTCTCTCTCTCTCTCTCTCTCTCTCCCTCTCTCCCTCTCTTTCTCTCTCTCTCTCTCTCTCTCTCTCCCACACACAGACACATATATCTAATCAAAACAGGTAAAAATGACGTTATATATATATATATAGGAGAGGATCATCAGGTTTACGTAAACCCATGCTCCTCTATTGAAATCATATATAGTAGTATTATATTTTTAAAAAAAGTATTTAAATATAGATGGGTGAATCCATAGTTGAAGTATAGTATAATGTTGTGCAATGATAATTGAGTGCACCTCTCTAAGAGAAGTTAGAAACTTGAATATTTTATTTGACAGAATGGGGTTAAACCGGATGAATTTATATCTTAGATTTAACTTTTTGTAATAGTGCACCCATTATCTCAAAATTTTTGATATGCCTTTGGCTATATCGCCTTGAATACCCACTCTGTGTGAAAAGAAGACTAGTACAGTTTTATGTATAATATATATTACAAAAATATTAGATTAACATTAAAAGAATTAGAAACATGCATTTTTTACTTTAGTTGGTATTAGAGAAATAACAAAAAAAATAAGCGAAACCGTTTTTCTTGCGGTATTGGGGGTGTGGCGGTAGGTGGGTTTCATATCGGTTAATTTTGGTTTATGTGGTAACAAAAACAATCAACAATGTCATCACAAAACATCAAATAAATTAAAATAAAAATAGTTCATAAATTAATTATTTATGTTATTATTAATTTTTAAAAATATATGTATCAACTCCACGGAATCAATACATCTAAAAATAGTACTATACCGACTCACAAACACCCCCCACATGTGAGAAGGAAAAATAAAATTGTTGTTTGTGTAACATATAATACAAAAATATGATGTAAGTGTTAAAAGAGGTGGAATCATGCATTTTTGCTTTAAATGGTTTTAGGATAAAACAAAAATAAAAAATAAATATATATTAAAAAAAAAGAAAGAGAAACAATCTGTGTTGGGCTTGTGTATGAGGGGAGAGGTTTCAAATTTGTCAATTTTGAGTTATATGATGATAAAAAATTCAATAAATTAGGTGATTCATCAATCATAGTTGGTTAAATAAGATGCACTATTTTTGCCTAAAAAACTCATCCACCAACAAGTAGTTAGCAGCCCAATTATTTTTTTAACCAAAAAAAGTCCTAAGACCTATATTTCAATGAATTAGTCTTTGACAATAGAGGCCCACAACGATCTGCATTAAATAGAAACAAAATAAAGGCCCAAAAATAATTTGCCCTAAAACCGATAAAAGAATAACCAATAACAACAAAAATGTATCATATGATAACACTCTTTGATATGTGAAAACTATATTTTTTTAAGAAGTGTAAGAAGATAGCTTTTCATTATAGAGCTCAACTATGTTGGGGTGGAATTCAACAGAAAATAAGGTGAAAACTAAGCCTAACGTGGTTATCTTATTATTATTTGATTATTTCCATATGGAGGGGTTTGTTAAAATTATGTATCTTTCTATATCAATTTTAATCAAATAAATATAATAATATTTCTATAAAATATAGTCAATTAATTAAAGATACTAGGGTTGCTATAACCATGATTTCAAAAAAACTCGAATATCTAATGGTAGTACACTCTTCCAGTGCTAAGTGTGCAAGCTATCAATTAGAATATTACATTTTATTTTAACCTAGTTAGATGAACATCACTCTCATTCTCTCAAACAACGAGTTACAACAATAAAATTGTATTAGAACCCGAAATAAGACGTGATGACACTTGTATATTCCCACCAAGAAAATTTAGCCTTAACCAAACAAATACAAAAGAGAATGGAAATACAATAAAACAGAACAACAAAAGAGAAGAAGACTTATTCATTCTAAACAATACCCCAAAATTTGGTTGTCACGTGTACGAGCCACTAAATACATAAGTGCTAATTTAAGAAATAAGTATAAGTCTCAATCTTTGTTATTCAAATAGAACAAAGTGTAAGAAAAGGAAAAAGATGGCTAGTCAGATGACAAGAATCTACCTCTTCAAGTCCTTCACAAGCCTCGAGTTCAAAGAAGGAGCAACAAATCAATGAGTCGGTCCGAGCTCGGATTCTACACAAGTGTAGAAGCAAGGGGTGAGTAACAACAACGCGAGACGTGACAAGAAACCTACTTAAAATAGCAAGTAGCTTGAAAATGATATATCGTACACTCTAACTGAACCTCCTCAAACTCCAACCTGCAAAGAAATCAACCTAGCCTAGCAATTCTACAAAACACGACTCATAGGCTTAATATTCTCCATTGAAAAATCTTCACAATTCAACAATCAAAAATTTCAAATAAGTCAATCTCAATGTCAAGTAGTTTAATTAAACACCACAAGTACATCAATTATAATTAGTAAACAATACACGCATAGACAATTCTGACATTAGTTTACAATGACCAATTTCTCGGCAGAACCATTTCTCATCGGCACATTATCACTAAATGAAAAAATTTTCTATAGGCTTTATAAAAACTTGTGTTAAATGACTTCGACATTATAACGCTTGTCGGCAAGTGACCTCGGCTTAATAACACTTGCCGTCAAAGACCTCAACATAATATAATTCACTGGCAAAGACCTCGACATTACAATCATCACATGTCTCCTTATGGTGGTCAACGATCAAATCATACAAGTAATATCACACCATATAGAAGAGATAACCATTTTCATAATTCAAGTTCACATACAATCTTTCAAGCATTATAATAATCGATCAGTGTGGGTTACATTAAGGTAGTTCACATCATCATGTTCAACACATAGGCTTTTTTATTTAAACCCTTTTTAATTCAATTAGATGTATCAATGGACAATTTAAACCCTTCGCATCATCTCCATTACTCCCAACACAAATAATCAATGAAGTAAGCATATGAAATTCAACTAGAATACAAGGTTTAAGAGGACACTTGCCTTAAATCAATCAAAAACAACTCCAATAGCTAAGTCTTCCCCTTTCGAATCATTTCCAATGCCGCAAAATCTACATAAAAGAAAGTCTTCACAATAAATTTCCTGAAAAAACAATACCCAAACCAATACTTTTATAAGGTAGGTCAATCAACACAAAACTCAATACAAAGATGAATATTTGAAAAGGGACTTCAATTCAGTTCAGAACTCCATTTCGTCAAGAACTTGGGTTCTTGAAACCTTCTCATTAACCCACAAAAATCCCAGAATTTGTTGTTAAAACTTATAATTAATCAATGGAAAATGAAGGTTTAGGATCAAGAGCACTCAACCCAAATGATCTAGCACCAAAAATCCTGTCGAAATTCACCACCAAGAGTTCATGAAGTTTAAAAAATGTTGAAATAGGGTTTAAACCCGAAAATGAGCAGCAAAACACCTCTTTGAAGTCGCACAAGCGACCACGTGTTCAATTAAGCAAACCCTGCCCTAAATGTGGGGCGTTGCTTAAGCACAACCTTCTTTGCAAAAGAGAAGGTCGCTTAAGTGAAAGACATATAGCTGAAGCAAAGTTCACTTAAGATGATGGCCTTCTCATAAATTAAACCTGCATAAGCAACAACTTCGGCCAATTTCAAAAACAATGAAAGGACCCTGAAGATTCGATCAGTACCTCGTACACACAAACCTTATATATGATTAAATTATTCTAGAACTTTTAGACTGAATGGAACCATCAAGAAATAAATCCAATGACTTTTTAACCTGAAATCCTTAGAAATCATAAGAAACTTACTCCTAAAAAGGCTAAAACAAACTTGAGAATTCTTTCAAATCAACCAAGATTTCACCTAGGCCTCAAATAATCCCCCAAATCCAACGGGACTCTAGAATATCAGTCAAAGTATCCTAAACTCCTCAAAAAGACTAAGAATCTGAAACCAAAAACTTTCATGGATCAAATGACACATTTTGAGACTGATGGAATTGACGAAGTTCTTTTCTGAAACCTCAAACTCCAAAAGACCCCAGAATTCACTTAATAATTTTCCTTTAAAACTCACAAACTTACCAAATTTTCAAATTTTAACTCAAAGTTTGAAATTAACCTTTCAAAATCAATCAAAAATGATATAGTGTCGATAACATTAGGGGCAAAAATGAAAATTTCACAAAATTTTCCAAAAATGATAGACCGATTCATTACAAATTGACTATACCGTCATGGCTAGTTTCTAAATGGAATATGATTATAAGGGAAGTGATGTAATTTTACAATTTATGGCTAGTTACTTAATGAAAAATAGTCTTAAGTTGGTGTCAAAATCCGAAATCCCGCCTAGACTTGAATGGAACCTAAGCTAACAACATGGCATACCATGAAACTGATATGACATATATAACTTATCAAACATGTGTCACGCCTAAACATAAGGGGAGCAATAGGCACCTTATGACAAAACATAGGTCTGAGCCAACCTTGATTAACCACTTATTAATAGCGCCTGGCATCCACAGACAGTTAACAAAACAACAAGCTTA